GGTTGAGTCTCCATCCCTGGAGGTGTTTCCAAGCCATGGAGATGTGGTGCTGAGGGACACGGTTTATCAGTGGACTTGTTACAGTTCGGTTAACAGTGGGACTCAATGACCCTGAAGGTTTTTTCCAATCAAAACAATTTATGATTCTATGAAAAATAAATACAAACTGACAGTGAGAGGAAGCCAGTGCAGTGTCTCTCTACTATCTGAACCCTCTACTCAAATTTACATCTGTTTCATTTCTGGATGCCATTCTCGTTTCTCAGAAGACAGGTGGTAATTCAAACACCTCCTGGGCTAAGTTTAAAAGATTCTGTTTACTTCTTACAAGACTCAGGTTTTGATAATGTCCCCATCAAACTTCTCTTGGGGTAGTGATGTTATCAAGAAAAGGATGGAAAGACTTTGGTTGATGAAAGCAAGAGTAACAGCTTTAGGAATTCAGTCTTTTAATCTTTCAACGATTACCTTACATTTTGCTTCTACTGTGACAGGAAACTCAGGGCAATGATGCAAAGATGACTGGTTTTCTCACTGTGGAGGTCAGTGACATCTTCCTTGCCTATTAATAACAGCAATTGGTACAGCAGGACCCAAGCAGGGAAATCCAGGCTCTATGCTGAGCTTACGTGCCTACAGCCTTGAGAAGAGTCAAAAGGAATTGCTAGAAAGTCTCCAGAGAGATCTTCTTGTGGCCTTCCTGCATGTGAACGAGGCCTACAAGAAAGCTGGGAAGGCACTTCTCACAAGTGCTTCTAGTGATAGGATGAGAGGTGATGGCTTCAAACTGGAAGAGGGGATTTAGATTAGAATTAGGAAAAAGTTCTTCACTATGAGGTTGGTGAGGCACTGGCCCAGGTTCCCCAGGGAAGCTGTGGATGCTCCATCCCTGGAGGTTTTCAAGACCAGGTTGGATGAGGCTCTGAGCAACCTGTTCTAGTGGGAGGTGTCCCTGCCCATGGCAGGGGGCTTGGAATTAGATCATCTTTAAGGATCTTTCCAACACAAACTGGTCTGTGATTCTGTGATATTCTGTATCTGTCTGAATGTGACTTCTCATGATCGGAAAATCATCATGGAAATGATGAACACAGCACGTGGTTAGGAATACAG